TAACCAGTTGGTGTGAAATTGCAACTGCTGTCCTTCTTGGCATTGGTGACGGAAACACCAGACCATTTCCAGTCAGAGCATCCATCAGTTCCACAAAGAATGTATACGGCCATGCTGCTGGAGCCTCCACTCATGCTTCCAGTAACTTCATTCAATACCAAGTTGGTGATGGGAATGTTGCCTTTTGGAGATCCAGTGGATGAACCATCGGCGTAATCTTCTTGAACGTTGATTCCGTATTTGGTGATACCTGAAAATGTATTCTTTAGTAACAGTCCATTTGGGATATTCAGTTTCTGCAATAGAAAATATTCTTACTGGAAAGTTTAATGTTTTTGTAGGTAACATCGGAAATAGCACCAGTTCCTGCATCGGAGTGAGTTTTAACGTGGATGCCATTGGCAGATTTAGTTACAGTACAGTCGGAGAAGGTGACGTTAGAGACTTTGTTAGCTGATCCATTTGAAGTACTTTGACCAACAGACAAGCTCAAACCGTGTCCTCCACTGCAAGTTAAATTTGAGAAGACTAAGTCGGATCCTTGGTTTACAGCAACACAATCATCTTGATTTTTGACAACGCTGTTCTTAACGGTAATTCCTGTAGATCCGGACACGTCGAATCCATCAGTGTTGTGACCACCATTCTATTTACCATAATAATTTTGTATAAGCAATATTGTAGAAGTAAGTTTCTAGAAAAAGCTTACATCGTCTCCATCAGATACATCAATAACGAAGTTTTCAAGAGTGGTGTCGCTGGCACTGCTGATGGAAATGCACTGATGTGGGCAGTTCAATAGGTTAATGTCAGAGAAAGTAGATCCTCCAGTAGTTGCGATTGTCATGAATTTTGGTTTTTTAATTCCACTGTCTCCTTTACCGTCCCAATAGTCAGCACCTTGCATTATAAAGTTATATTATTAGACCAATCTCTCAATCCCTCATGGTAAATAGTGACAAATCAGTGGCCCCGTCCATTGCAATAAAAGACTGGATCATTTTGAACATATGCTTGATCCTGGAGTATGCTCCTATTCTTGCCGAAGCAAATAAATTTGCATTTAAGTATTATACAGAACTTTCTTTCGAAATTATTAGCATTGCATTTTGCAATTGTTTAAAACTTCTATATGGTGCTTCCTTAAATACTTTATCGCCGAATTCCTACCTTGGCCATTAAGGGTCAAACCGCTTCCAGTAACAGTGACATCGCTTCCGGTGATCTTTAGCAGAGGTCCTTTCCATTCAGCGTACTTCCACGTCCACGTACCTTCCATGGTTAGCTTGGTTCCACTTTTGAGAGATAGAGTCAAAGTAGTCTCAGCTGGTACGGTGATTCCGGAAATGGTCAAAGTGGTGCAACTAGATACTGCAGTCGCAATAGCAGAGTAGCTAGTTACTGTGCAACTTGCTGTCAAATTAGCAGCAGGCGAACCGATAGCTGAAGCTACCAAAGCAGCGAACAAGAAAACTAACTTAATCATGATGATTGTGTTGTGGTTGTGTCGGCTGCAGCACATCGGCTTTATATACAGTTACCGGAAGAATTCTCTTAGAGATAAGTATTACTGAAGGACTTGCTGTGATCACGTGGCACAATTGTGCGTAATGCCAAATTGATATTTGAAATTGGTCTTTGTTTGCTGTAGAAGTGGCACGATTAGCATCTCAAGACCTAAGAGGTACTTGTTAACAATGTGGTTAGATCTGCCTGGTTTCCACTCTACTTTAGCAATGTATTCGATTATCAAATTAGTACGAGAACTGGCAGATGCCAGACATTTAGTTCAACAAAAATTAAAAACACGTATTAGAAACAAAAATGTTAATAACCGTGCATCGCTGTCTAGCAGTGTTCTGTATTTATTTTATAAAAATTGTGGTGCAGTGGAAATTGTTAAATTTGTATGTCTTCAGGAAACCCGAGAATCTAACAGAAAATATATGGAAACATCCTCACAGACGGAAGGTGATAATGCTCTGGGTTATTCCATATTCTTACTAGATGGTTTTGAGACAGAAATTGCAATATTTGGCAGCAAACTTTTTTCAAAGTAACATTTACATATTAAATGCTTTTTTAATATTGCAGTACATTCATCCACAACACAGGCATGATCGGTGTTTTTGAAACAAATTACTTTTTTTGAGAATTGTCGATTACAGTGGAAAGCTATAAGAACTGTCCACAGTTAAATGACGACTGAAATATGCACATAATTAATCCGCATTCTGAAGGTATTATTACAAGAAGACTCGAAGTCAAACAGTGATTGTAATGGCAATGGCTTACCTGAAAGTTCATGGCTTTTCAAGAACTCGACATCCAAGATTAAAAATATTTAAAATATGCCTTTAAAAACACACAAATACACTACGACCATCGGTTGAAATAAACTTTTAGATTTTACTCAATTATTAGTTATTTCCATCATCGTACCATATCAAATATTTTATAGTGTTTCCTATTTTATCTGCTTAATTTTTGGCAATCCCAATGCAAAAGAAATTATCGCAAATCTCGTTTATATCCGTAAATTATCAAGAATTAATTAAAAAAATTTTTTAATTAATCGAAATATCAAAACCCACAATAATAATTTTATAATTGCAATAATGAAAAACTTAGCAATATTACATAGTTAATAAAAAATTGTTTTTTTTTTGTTCAATGTATGTAAGTACATACTAATAAGTTTTTCACTGTCGGTGAAATTGAACGTAAGTGGCACGCTCTAGCAGCAATGTAGGCCAAGCTATAGGTACTTAAAAATTATTAATCATCACAAAAAGAAACAAAACAATTGTGCGATGATATAAAAGATAATGAGCAGATGAATAGCTATGTGTTTTCCACGCTCATGTCCTGTTCATATGTTAGTTATTATCAATTTGTTGCAAAAAAAATGCTATTTTTGTCTTTTTTTGTTTATAACTTTGAAACTTATGAAGCAATCGGAATGTCCCAAGGAGATGATCTGTAGAGAATAAAAATATCATTATCCCTACGTTGGCTCAAAATTTTAGCGCTCCAGCTCAAAAAATGACGAAGCTATGATCCGCCGTTTTGGTTTGATGACGCCCAATTTTTCGGTTCTGCTTAAATTTCTCAGAAACTAATTATCCGATTGAGGCGTGTCACCTCTCATTTTGTAGATACTTTTATTCTCTACAATTCACCGCGTCGGGTATTCCGATTGCTCCGTTAGTTTCAATGCTGTTAACCAAAAAATACAAAAATCGGGTTTTTTTGCAATAAATTGTTAATTACTAACATATAAACCGTAAATGCCAGTGGAAAACACATACCTATTCATCTGCTCATTACATGTTATATAATCGCACAATTGGTTTGCTACTAGTCTTTTTGTCACACATAAATGCTATACAGCTTGGCCTAATGGAGAAATTGCATATTAAAAAAACTGATAAAACTTGTAAACATATGGCTTTCGATCAACTTTGAGAAGAAAAAGTTTGCGAATTCAATACATCTGACCAAGATATGTACAGAATGACTGGAAAATGAACAAACTTTTTAGATTTTAAAACTCTTTGTTTTTCTTAAAATAGTAAACTTGATATACGTAAAAACAGGTAAGCGAACAACATGTGGGTAAAAATGCATGTCCAAATCTCCTTGGACACGTTATTTACTGCGTAAAATCTTCAGTTTTGGCACTTATTCAAAGTTCATTTTCATTCAGATCATTGTTCAAATTTTGTAAAACCCCCTTGTAGGAAAATATTAAATTAAATTTATTCTTTGGCAAATCCGGAAAATCTCAAAGTAGGTACTTAATGATTTAAAATTCAATTGCTTTCAAAAGCTGTCATTATATGTTTATATAACTAGCTTTCTGAAGCAACTTGAAGTTTTTCCCTTGCTTCATGGAAACTTAAAATGGACAATTTTTGTGTGGCTTAGTTTTTTTGAGTTTCTTCCAAGTCCTCTTCAGTTGTGGAAGCGGCAGTGTAGTCGGTGATTCATAATTTCAAGTTTTTTGAAGAAAATGCTTTTGTTTTTTCTGTTTTAATAAAATATACACAACTCACTACACCGAAGTCTCGTAGGTCACAGTTTAAAAGCAAATAGCAAGTTTGTCCGTCCAAAATTTGTGAACACGAGTACCATAATGAAGCTTTGTGAATTTTTGCATGAGATGTATCTGAACTCGTTAGCCTTTATTTGGGTCGCAGGTTCTACTATGCACGTAGGTAACCAGTACAACTTAAAGGGCACCTGGCTTATTTATTAACAAGTATTTTTTAAATGGACTAACTAGTATAATTTGTTTAAACTGAACTTTGTTGAACTAAATTGTTGCTATTTTCTATACGCGAGAACTACTATTTCGACACAAATATTAAAACGTCTTTGCCTGGAAACGAAATATTTTTCCGTTTTCTGGTATACATTTAATCTTTACGATATTAGTAGTAAAATTATCTCATATAAATCCGATTCTAAATTTTGCAAAGCTTCTGAGTGCTAATAGTTGGACCGCTAAACATTTTTGTTTAAATGTAAAAAACAAGATCCTGTTACTTATTTTACTAAGACCTTTGTAGGCGTTGGTCTTGAGTTCTCTCGCTCTACCTCTAGATTTCACTCTACTGCCTGTCTCGTATAAAAACCTTCGTCAGGCGTTGTTATTTGATGCTCTTTTCATATATTTTTTGCACATAGTTTCTAATATTCAGAAAACATTTCATTTCTCATCAGCAAAATATAAGGCCAGTTATTTATTTACAATTATATGTTGCTTTACAAAAAATTTGCTTCTGCCCATTAAGTGGCATGGGCGTTTGTGACATTAGCAATGGATTATGTCCATACGTATACGACAACTTCAAAAATATTGCTGCTATTTGCTGATTGAAAACTGAATTTTCTTAGATTGCTGCATACAAAATGCTTCTGAGAAAGGTTGCAAAGCCTTCAACAGTCAGTTTTGACTGTTGTTAGGTGTAAAGTTTAAAACCATAAAATTGATGGAGAAATCCTGCACTCAACCTACCGGCCAAAACTGTTTGAATGGTTAAGTTACGTTAATTGTTATTGAAGTGTAAACTTCTTTAGGCGAGTTACACCATCAAGTTCACACAGAACCTGCCTAGTAAGCAGCAGTTCCCACAGAAACCGCTGACTAGGTTCCGCCGTACATA